CAAGTATATTAAATATATCTAAGTATCTTACTCCTGAGTCCCAACACTGAAAGTATGTTCAGAGGTGGACTTTCCTAGGAATAAAATTACTCTTTCTCTCACTGGGGGGGAAATTCTCCTAACTGTTGTTATTGCCACTCCAAATAAAATTGTAGTTCCATTACTGAGAAAAAAATGGAGCAGATGGTTATTGGGTGGCAACAGAATTCTCTGCTACATGAAAATATGAACAAAAGGCTTAAACAATATTAATAATAGTAATAATAATGATGATGCTAAGTCTGAAACTTTAGAAAATTCTTTTTGGGGGGAACTCTGAAAATGGGTCTTGAAGGATGAATAGGAGTTTGTTAAATAGCAGGAGCACCCCAAGCAGAAATAATAGCTTTTGAAAAGCATAGAGGGATCTGGTATTTTAACAGCAAGTCTAAATAGTCTGCAAGGTTTTTCTCTTATTGTTGGTAAATCTTAAATTAACAGTTTTACTACTTTCAAATTAGTCATTCTTTAAAGTCAGCAATGAGATATGTAAATGATAATTTGTCTAATGTGAGACATTTTAACTTGGATCAAAATAAGATCATTTTATCAGAAGATAAAGTGTTCCATATTTTCCTCCACATTTTTTAAATAATTGAGTTAGAATATTTTGGCACCTTAAAGAAGAACTGAAGCAGAAGGAGGAGGGAATATGGCAGGGAGATGTTAACCTTTGGAACTCTGAAGTGAAAGCCCAGTTCAAACTGAATTGTTTGTATCCTGGGGTCCAGAAACCTTTGCTTTGTGCTAAGTCCTGACTCTAACCACATGAGCTTTAAAGTATGTCACCCCTTCTCTTTATCTGTTCCTAAAATGATGTTCTTTTGAATCAGTGGAGCTGGATTGTTCTTTTCTGAAGATGGCTGTGGAACCATAAACAATTGTTAGGCTAAGAAGGAGGTTTTTATGGCTACTTTCTGTGCAGCTTTGGTGACCTGGTGAATAAGGAGTTGTTCTGAAAACCAAAGGCAGGCAGTTCGAAAGCAACAGTTGCTCCTGAGAGGAAAGAGTGGTCATCTCTCCTCATGTGATTAAGAGACTGACCAGTGGAGAGTCAGCTGTGAGTTGGTTCCAAAGATATGTCAACAAACATCTTTAGAGATATCAGAGTTCATGAAACTTTTTCCAGAGAAACTTAAATCGTTTAGAAACTTGAGAATTCTCTAATTTAAAGAGTAGATCCAGTAAGGCGTGGGATGCCCAAGAAGAATAGATTGTCCGATATACTTCCTATTGTGACCTTCTACAAACTGAGTAATTAGTGAGATTTAAAAGTCATTATTGTCCTGTCAGAACTGACTCATCACTGACCCTCCAGCGAGTTTATAGAGGTTGTAAATCACAAGGGAGGAGCTTGCCCATTTTCCTCCCACAGAGCGGCTGGAGGATTTGAACTGCCTGAGAAGTGGGGCCTTTCACCTAGCCACACAGCTGTCTAGAGACTACTCCACCAGAGCTTCCTTATGGCGGCTTAGTGGTAAAGACTTGTGCTGTCAGCCAAAAGGCAGGCAGTTTGAATCCACCAGCTTCTCTAAGAGAACGAGATGGGCAGTCTCCCCTCCTGTGCATGAATGACAGTTTCTGAAAACCTGCTGAAAGGCCAGCTATGAGTCTTTTCCAATTAAGAACGGTTAACAAAACAGTAATCTAAATTAAGATTGCCATGCTTTCTCAAAATATTTAGTCCTGTTAATGTAATCAAATGCCTTTAGCCTCTTAGCTCTTTTTTTTTTTTTTAAATTCCAGTTAGCTTTGGTTTTTGCTTATTTTCTACTGATTGGTGTCTAGACTCCTGATGACATAGTGCTAATTGAAAGGTTGACAGTTCAAATCTACCAGCTGCTCTGTGAGAGAAAGATGGGCAATGTTCTCTAAAAGGACATATCACCTTGAAAATCCAGTGGAGGGTCTTCTTGGGTTGGATGTGAACTATTGCCAATGGTGATGATGGTGGTGGTGGTTGTACAACAAAAAGGGGCTGTGGCATGATTAAGTATTAAACGTTGAGTTCTAACCAAAAGATCATCCCTTTGGACCCACCTCAGTAGCCCTGGTCTGCAGAGAGCTGGGCTGTTTACCCAAAGGTCAGCAGAGGTCCGAATCCACCAGCAGCTCCTTCAGCACTTTACACCCTCTGAAAACCCACTTGTTGGTTAGCTGTGAGTTGGTTCTGACTCGACAGCATTGAGTTTTGAGGAGATTTTGCCTCTCCCTATTTCCCTTTCCAGGAAAGTCCTCTTTGACTTTATAACTAGATCTCCTTTTCCTTGCTTCATGCTGGCAGGGCACCATGTATCAGTGCTCTTGGAATTTATCAGGATTATCATTTAGTGTTTATTTTGTGTGCTTGAATGGTGCCTGTTTCCACCACTATACTCTAAGTCACAGGAGGAGTGTGCTCATACCTACTGCAATTCACCCCTCCACCCCGTGTACCTACCACAGTGCCTGTCCCATGACAAGTCTTCAGTGAAGGCTGCTTGTAGACATTCATATTTCACATTGTATTTGGAGTCAAAGAATGAATAATAGACATTAGCTCCTGTGGGACCATCCAGAGAGAAGCCTTTTGAAAAATAATCCTCCTGTGCTTACATGAAGGCACACCAAAGGGGTCTAAAGCCTGCACGTGCTTGGCTGTGCATGACTGCAGCTTGGATGGACTCTGAAGCAGCCTCACTGCAGCCTCTGAATAGATTGGGAGACCGATATTGAACTCCAAGGACGGAGTTGGCTTGGCATTGCACCCCACTCGAGGACCTAGCCCCACATGTTCCTAACATCCTGATTTCAAGAAAATGTCCAACTGTTAAAAGATTGTTGCTCTGGTTGTTTGTTTTTAATTTTGAAAAATGCACATTACCACATTTTAAAAATATAACACTTATATAACACAATGCTAAATAATTGTATTGTTGAACTTTTGCCTAAGCATGTGTTTGCAATTATTAGAGCCACAAAAGGGAAAATCAAGCCTCAAAGAAAGGTCACATTAAGAATCAGGGTTTTGAAAGACAGGAGGGATTGTGAGGGCTTGGTGGAGACAAGTCCCTTCAAACGTTAGTCCATTGTCATTTTATTTTGTCAAAGAAGTAGTGGTGTAATATGGGAATGGAATAAGTATTTTAATGCTGCCTCTAATTAGAACAACTTGATGCAGTTGGGATTTGATTTAAAAAAAAAATCCAAACTTTAGAGAGGAAAGAGTAGAGATCCAGAAAAATCTGTCCACATACTTTTCAAAGGCTAGTGATTTTTGTTAAGTTCAGCTTGGACTAAGTGTAAAGGCTTCATCAAAGGTATTTAAAGCTCAGCTGCTTATTAGCTTAGTGGCCTTGGACAAGATGTGGAGCCTTAGCTGTAAAATGGGGATAATAATAACTTGGCAAATGTTTTGACAATCAATGAGATATTTGTGTTGTGCCTGGCACAGCACAGGACCAGCCAAGTGGCAGAGTTCTCACTGTGGGTCATCTCTGCTGCCCTCCCTGCCCACCTGCTCCCCCTCACAGATTATCTCCTAACCTTGTTTCAGTTAGCTGGTTCTCCTTTCCTCATTGAAGTGATATCTGGAAGAGTATTTTCATTATCATTCAACAAATATTTATTGAGGGCCTACTATTTGCCAAGCTTTGTTCTAGTTGCTGGGAATACAAGGCTCTCGGCATGCAAAACTTCACTCTATGCCAGTTCTAGGCTAGGAAACAACATATTAGGAGATTATTCATTAGGTAAAAAGACTTATGTTTCCTGCTATACTTTCATCAAGGTTGTATTTTTTTTCCTGGCTTATATTAATCATATTATTGACAGTGAAAAGCATTTTTTTTTAGTTGAGGCTGTTACTATTGTTATGTGCTGTAGAGTTGCAACCAACTCAGAACTAACCTTCCAGCAGGTTTTCAGAGGCAATAAGTTGTGTAGAAGGACCTTGGCCATATTACTTCCGTGGAACGGTGAGAGGATTTGAACCACTTACCTTTGGGTTGCCAGCACAGTTCCTTACCACATTAGTTAGAAGCCATCGTGGTGCACTGGTTCAGTGCTTGACTTCTAACTGAAAGATTGGCCACTTGAGCCAGCGGCTTTGTGGGGGGAAAAAAACTGACCGTCTACCCCCCCCCCCATAAAGATGACAGCCTGGGAGAGCCTATGGGGCAGTGCCGTTCTGTCCCATGGAGTCAGTGTTATACAAAAATTGCTTAGATGACTCTCAACAACAGCTTCAGTGATGGTTCGGGATCCTTCTCTCTCCTCATTCTCTTTCACTCTTGTCTCTCACCCTCCTTTCTATGTGTACGTGTAAACTGTAAGAATGTCTTTATCCACATGACATTTTTTTTTATAATTTAGGTTGTTTATTTTTCATTTCAATGAACATCTACAGAGATTTTGGGATTCCATTCATTCATTGTTGCACCCTTCTCCCCGCACAAACCCCTTCCCCCCCCCCCCCCGTTTGCTCCTCTCCTTGAAAAGCAAAAGAAAAACTCCCTCATTGGTACACAATCCCCCCCACACACCTCCCCAAACCCCACTCCCTACCCCCAAATATAATCCACTCTGCAACCCTCATTGCATACTCCTACGATAAAAATAATGCCCTAAAATATAATACTTTTAGACTATTCTCTCCCCCATAGACTTCAATGCCGTAAACATATTTCATCCAGTTTTTCTCAGTCTTACCCCCACCCCAATGCCAGCCTCATTCTACAACAGTGGCACCATACAGCATTTGTCCCTTTGTGACTGAGATACCTCACTCAGCACACATTACATTTTTCTTTCTTAGCTGGGCTCTGATTCCAGCGGAACTCGGTCCTCTTCATGGGAAGTGTGCTCTGAAGGTGGCGGAAGGAGAGGACCTTGGTGGTGATTGGCCTCCCAGTGGGTCTTCACTGGGTAGGCATCCGGTTGAATTCACTTCTCTATCTCTCTCTCTCTCATTCTCTCATTAGATTGTTGGCTGTGATCACCAGCTGGGAAGCACCGCCAAGGAAGATAACTGTGGGGTCTGCAATGGAGATGGGTCCACCTGCCGACTGGTCCGAGGGCAGTATAAATCCCAGCTCTCTGCAACCAAATGTAAGACAATCACAGAGACGGGTAATATAGACTTACTTATAGACAGGTGCCCCTTCCCTGGCCTACCTCAGGCTCCACAAAGCAACTTCGGAGTAACACTAACGAACACCGGGCTGGTCATGTTGTGGGAAGTATAATGGCCCCAATTGTAAGTTCTGGTAGCCTAGTGTAAGGAGCTGTGCTACTAGCCTGAAGGCACATGGTTCAAATCCACCAGCTGTTCCATGGGAGAAAGATGGGCATTCTCCTCCCGTTAGATTTACTACTACTGAAAAAGCACTGGAAGGTCACCTATGGGTCGGTTCTAACAGGACAATGCATAATGACAGCAATAATTTATAGCTGGAGCCTATGGCCTGGGCCAGGTCACTAGTTATAACCCCAAGGAGGAAGTTTTCCTTTTTAAACATTGTCAGAAGTAGACAAAGCATGACTCGAGATCCACCCTACCTGCAAACACGGGGTTTGTCAACCAAAATGAAAAGAGACTGTATCCCAGCTTCTGCAGGCCTCGTTTATGATCTGCTGTGCCTGGTGGAATACAGCAAGAGAATAGCTGAAAAGAATAAATTCACACAAAAAAAGAATAAATTCACTCCTCCAGTTGTGAAATAGCCTGGTCTCCATTTTATCATTTTCATCAGTACTGACCACCAGTGCTTTCCAAATTAGTGTTAGGCCGTGGCTATGGGAAGCTTTTTAGTGATTTTCGTGGCCTAATAGCCAGAGTCTGTACAGCAGTATCTCACTTAATCCTTAAAAGAGCCTTCTGAGCAGGGGACTGTTAATACCTGTATTACAGATGAGAGAACCAAGACTTAGCTGGATTAAGTGAGCAGCTGTGAGTCACACAACTCTAAAGTACTAAAGCCGAGATTTAAGCCCAGCCTCTGAGGCCAGAAGCCAAGCATGTAGCCATGCCCAGTCTCACCGCTATACAGACAGCTTCTGAGGGAGTACGTCTCTAAAGCAGGCAAACGGACCAAAAGCTCAAGTGTCTACCTGTTGCAGGTGAGACAGTCGAAGGCGTAGGTCCTCATGATGCCTAAATCAACAGTAGAGCTACACATGAATCCAGGCCATTTTCCAATTCACTGTCCTTTGTGACACCCAGTCTTAAGTACACCAGCAGTTCCGTTGTTGTGTACCATCAAACTGGAACCAAACCATAGCCGATGGCCCAGTGGGTTTTCAGAGGCAGTAAATGGCACAGGAGGAGATTACCCATCTTTCACCTGTAGAGTAACTGTTGGATTCGAACCATGTACCTTAGTGCTGGTGGTGTCATTCCTTATCGCTAAGCCATCAGAGCTCCTAGACAGACATAAGACAACCTTTTCCTCAAGGAAGGGTCCCTGGGCTGTGCAAAAGGCTAAGTCCTTCACTAAGGTTAGAGTTGGGGTTCACTCAGAGGCATCTCAGAAGAAAAGCTTGATGATTGGCTTCTAACAGGGTAGAGCCTTGGAAACTCTGTGGAGGCCAGTTCTGCACAGAAACGCAACCATGAGTTGGAATCAACTTGACGTCAAATGGTTTGGTTTCCTTGTTTGGTTTTTCTGTGGTAGTGTACTCAGGGCAGACATTCTTAGAATTATTTTGGCCTCTTCTGGCATACCACCTCCATAGTTTGTCATTTTCCAGAATTCTTCAGTGGATCCTTGAGTCTCTCTGTGCGCCTCCCCACTGGCTTGGGGAGTGAGAATGAATGTCACTACAGAGTGTAGTTGTGTTCTTACTTGTTGACTGCCTGGAGGGAAAGAATTTGTGTGTGGGAGACCTGTGTCATTAAATGGACATGTGGGTCAAAAAGCAAGGCAGATGCAACCTTTCTGGTGTGCCTCAAAGAGAGCTCTTCAGACAAGAAACAGGAAAAGGCAGCCTGCCAGGAGGACAAGCCTCTGGGGAAGAAAGGGAGCTAAGGAAGAAAGAAAAAGGGTTTTTAAACACATGAAAAATTGGAGGTGCCAGTTTAAGGAACTGTACGTTCTAACTCCCCTGGAGGCAGTGAGAAATGGGATTGTGTTTAAAACATGACTCTGGCAGATGGAATGAAGGATGAGGTAAGTTTGACATTGATATAGCGCATTCAGGCAAGATCTTTTCTTTTTTTCCCTTTGGCCATGTGTGTCGGTAGCTTCTTCTATGAGATGAAAAATTAAAGGAGTTAGAAGATGGAAACCAGAGATGGAGAGAGGCATAATTCTCTTGTAAATCTCAGAAATCATGATCAGATACTTGGAAAAAGTTATATTTAAAGAGTCCCTTTAAGAGCTCTTTAAGGGATATTACCAAAGTTTAAATTTTCAAATTATTCTTTATACATAATTGAATTTCTGTTGGGCACCAAAGGGTTGGAGCCTGAGGCCATGATTTTATAATGGGCATGGTTTCTTCAGTCAGCCTCTTGGCCGTACCTTCTGCTTTCAGAGAAGAGCTTGAGGGTAAATATTCCTTAGGTGAAATTCATCTCACCCACCTCTGACTAAGTGATCCAGGATTGCTATTGTTGTTAGGTACTGGGGTCAGTACGACCTGTAAACAATAGATTGGAACCCTGTCCTTTCCTGTGCCATCCTCAACCTCTCTGACATGCATCCATCTCTCTAGATCCATCTTGAAGTACAAACACCGTGAGTGACAGGATTATATCCATACGCTTACAAGGAAGCCCAGTGAATACCACTATC